TAATTCTTTCACAAAAGAGGCATGAAAGACTGAAATGGATTATTTGCATGAATTAGATAACACAGATTTTAACTTTAAACTTGTCATTCTACAGTGTTTCAAATCCAAAGGATCAGCAAGAATCTTGATGTAGCATATATTATCCATGTTCAGGAATGGCTTTCAACTAACAAAGCCAGAAGCACTGCAGAACTGATGTTGAAAGTCTTTAAGATCACATGGTGATTAAATTTCTCTCCAGCTTTCTAGTGCATCCAACCAAAAGGCAGCATTGATGTCCAAGTAGCTCATGTAGCTATTCATTCAGGAAAGTGAGTATGAAACTTGGTAATGGAAGATGCCCAAAATAAAGGTGAAAATCCACATGACTTCAACTAAATACACTTCCCCTTTCCAACAAATCCCTCTCTATTTAGCTAATATAGTAATAATTTACTTTTAGGGCTTGTCTAAACAGTGCATTAATGTAGTCTATAAGGGTGTGATTTCCAAAGAACTTTAACTATCAAGTCATCCCTGTAGAATTCTGCTGGTGCACAGTAAAGGTTCCCTAGTGAACTTTCACATAATATAAACAGCATGCTGTTAAGCACACCAGAGTTCATCACAGATCAATTAATGCACAGCACCTTAATACGCTTTAGAAGTCACAACCCCATATGATGCATTAAACACCATGTAGACAAGATGAAAAGTTTCCTATTAAAACGCCTCTTTCAAGAATATAAAACCCCAGACAGTTTTAAAAGTGGATGCCAACATTTAGTTACCTAAATCCTTACCTAAATGCATAATTAAGTGGCCTGTTTTTCCAGAGGTCCTGAGATTTTTAAAACCCAGCTCTAAGAGCCTAATTTAAAATGCCCAATCCTGAAAATTCAGTCAAAATTATTTTACACTGAGCATTTTAAAGTAGTGAGACTAGATTTTTTTTTAAAATTATGATGGCATGTTTTCCCATAATTCCCCCTTTCTCCATTATCTTTAGTCAGTTTTAAATCATGTAGATAGTAAGCTCTGATGCCATAGCACACCTGATTATATGGACCAAAAATGTTCCCCCTCATCTTTTCCATCCATGTGTTGAATACATTTGTCTATATGCACCAAGTCATATGCGAATGTTCACCACCAACAAAAACACAAAACCTAGCTGTGAGCGCTCTGCTAATCAGCTGTGCAGCATTTGAATCTCTCCTGATCAGCTGGCCAGGGATCATCTTAAGGGAACAATGTTATGGACTCAGTTATTTTTGTATTTCCTGCACCAGTTTAAGACCGGTTTAGGCCCACCTATCTTGGCATAAAAACCATACTAGAAGGACTGTTTTAAAACAATTTCAAAATTATTCCTGCTAAAATTAGGTAAATATGGTTTGCCTGGCTATGATAATACTGCCATAACTGTTTTAATACTCTTTTTACTAAGTCATAATAGGCAGACAAACTATGTTTATGCCAAGTTAACAGAAACCATTTTAGAATTGTAAAAATCGATTTACTATCATGATCTAAGTGCCATCTCACACAAAGCTTTAGAGCTTTTGTATCTGCTTATGTTTTGTTACCACACAGCTTTTAGTTAAATGGTTGCATCGATACAGTGTAAATACTGTTTGTTGGCACTTTTGTGGACAAAATACTCCTGCTCCCTAGAAGCAGGATGTGTGTTGACAGGACAGCACTTCTGTTGACAACTAACCATTCACACTGCCCTGGCAAAACTTTTGTCTTGGGGGAGGGAGAGGGAGGGTACCCGTGAAAGCTGTGGCAGCATAGAGAAAGCCTTAGTCTAGCTGCTTCAAAGTAAGATAGTCTTTACATGTTATTGCATTACCCCAGAATTACGGACTGTCACCACAAACCTCTCTGTCCTCTTCCTCCCAACTAAGCTGCAAGTGATTGTTAAGCAACTTAAATGCTCAAGTTCCCTTACAACAGAATTTATTTTAAAATATACAGCTTGTTAAATTTCATTTAAAATGCATTTGTCTTTGTGAGCAAGTAAAATTCAAAGATGCCTAGTTAACCTAGAAACTTATTTTGATTCAGGAAAAAAAAATCAATGGGGTGGCAAGTGGTTTTGAAAGCCCTACCCCTCATATATACACACTACATTCTAACTGCCCTAGATCAGACTATAATTTTTCATAATGTAGTTAAAAAGATTCTATATGCAAATTTAGTATTTCCACATTTAAAGACTCATCTAGTTTAAAAGATGTTAAATATAGGAATTCCATGACAATTTGATATTTAATTGTAGGAAAACGTTTTTTCCCTCAGACCTGGTATAAACTGGGATTATAAAATAATGCCATTTGAGGATTATGACACTTTTGTTAAACATGCTTTGTTTATAAGCCGACAATCCATTTTTTTAAATAGTCATTTTAATATTAAAAAAAGTGTCTGTACACTAAAAAAAGAAGGACAACATAACAATATGACTAAGGCTCCAATCCTGCTCACAAGGAGCCAGTTGCAAAATCAGACCTGAAGTTTTCAAGCATTTATCTAGGTCAGGGATGGGGAACCTAAGGGCCTGTGGAATGGATGTGGATCTGGCTCAAGGCCCCTGCCCAGCAATGAAGAGCCCGGTGCTGGTGCTCCAGTCCCCATGCCACCCTCCCATGAAGCTGGAGATTACAAAATGTACTAGCCTAGGCCCCCACTGGTCTCTATTGTGCCAGAGGAATGTGGGGAGTGTCTTTTACCTTCTAAGTCAGGGACCACATCAGTGAAGATTTGTTTTTGTGCTTCCCACTTGTGTGCAGCCTCTAACTGATTCTTCTGTGGGTCAGTGGCCCAGACTGAAAAAAGGTTCCTCACTCCTGATACAGGTACTAATGTGATGTCCATCATGACAGCATTCCTAGTATCTACGGATTTATCCTGACACCTATGTGAGATAAGGTAATTCCTATACCTCTATAGTCTCAGAGGGTACGTCTAGACAGGCTTTTGTTGAGAGGCTTTGTCGACAGATACTGTCGACAGAGTGTCTAGACTGCATCCAGTTCTGTCGACAAAGCAAGCAGCTTTTAATATTTTTTAACATTATTGCCGTGTAGATGCAATAATGTCTTCTGTTGACAGAACTCTGTCGACAAAAGGCATTATTCCTCGTAGAATGAGGTTTACAGCCATTGAGAAAAATTGCTGAGTTCTGTCGACATTATGTTGACAGAACTCAGCAGCAATAGACACGCAGGTATAGTTTTGTCGACAAAACCCTGGAGTCTAGACACAACCAGAGAGTAGGAGATAACTTGCGCAAAGTCATGCAGGAAATCTGCGGTACAGCTGAAAACTGAATCAAGAACTCCCAAAATCACCCACATTAGTGCTTCAATCTCAAAATCTCCTTCTTCCCTGGAGCATCTAAAAATGCAATTATGCAACGCATACATACCTAGGTTATATTTAGTGCTAACAATTAACATTTTACATTTTTTATCATTGAAAATAAAAATAAATACGTCGGGGTAAGGGTTAGCTGTGGGTCATGAGTCAGGCCACCCCACCGCTGACCTGTGCCCTGTTTGGGGATGGCTCCCACATTCGGAGTTGGTTAATGAATAAGCAGGGACATGATGGTGGAGCTGCAGAGAGCATCCTGAAAAACTGCAGGGCTGGCGATGCTGGACTGTAAGCCAGGATTGTGAACAGGACAAATATGAGTCCCTGGTTGTGGGAGAGGCCACCTCACTACTAAATGGCTCCTGCACAGCAATGGAGCCATTCACTAGTGGGATGGAACCCTCCACATCAGGGACACTGACTCTGCTGCACACTCCTGGCTAGGGTTCTCTAGTCTGTTCGGCTAGGGCCACAACTTTCCGTACATCTTGTGCCTGCAGGGATCCAGCATCACTGGCCCAGCAGCATTTCAGGATGCCCTCTGCAGCTCCACTGTCACAGGCCAGCTTGTTCATTCACCAGCTCAGAGCATGGGAGCCATTCCCAAACAGAGCACAGTTCAGTGTCCAGTATCACTAGCCCCACTCACTCACTCTCCCACCAGGAACATGGGAGCCTTCTGAAGACAGGACCTCTTCAATTACAAAGTGGTTTCTTGCATGGCCAGGGACCTGAGGTCCTCCTTTGCAGTTCTGGCCAGGGATCTCTGCTCCAATGGTCCCAGATAATTGCAGCCTCTCTAGCACATAGTGCCTGCAGGTATTGGGTATTACTGGTACCCAGATACTAGAGACCCCTGCAATTCTGCTGTCACACAAGTGAGGGAGAGGGACTGAGACAGCAAAGTTGCAAGGTGCTCCCTCAATGGCTACAGCACCGGTGACACCCAATCTCTATAGGTGCAAAGGTCCCTGAAAGTCTCCTGGCACTCAACTGGTGTGTGAGAAAGCAGGTCCATGACAGTGGGGCTGCAAAGGGCTCCCTAAACTGCTGGAGTCATTTGGCAGTGGGCTAGCCTTCCCCCATAAATTAAGGCTTGTCCTGGGGCTAAAATGTACTCCCACTGCAGGATCAGGTGTCACCAGCCCTGAAGCACAGGGAGCCCTCTGCAGCTGGACCCATTCACTCACTCTGACAACAGGGCTCCAGAGTGCTCCCTAAACAGCTGTAGGGCCAATGAAGGCTTGATTGCTGTAGGCATGTTAACTGTTACTGATTTTCATTTTGGTCAATTTCAACATGTCAATGAAATCAACATTTAGCAACTGAAACTGAATCCTGCTAAGCCTAGTTATTATTATAGCCAGTAAACATGAATATTTTCAGGGCAACCATTTGCTGGATCTTATTTTCTTCTTCATACATAAGAAGAGTAACCATACTATGAAAGCCATGCTTTAAAACAGCAAATAATCACCCATGTGTCAGGTTCTAATACAGGCAGTCCCCAGGTTACATGGATCCGACTTACATCGGATCCCTACTTACAAACAGGGTGAAGCAACCCCGCACTAGCTGCTTCCCCCCAGCAGACCAGGGAGACGTGGAGTGGCTTTTCTCAGCAGACACCTCAGCTTGAGAATAAAGGACTGAGGGAAGTGAGGTGTGGGAGAATAAAACTGAGCTCTGGAGAAATGTTTGGCTAGAGTTTCCGCTACAATATGTACCAGTTCCGACTTACATACAAATTCAACTTAAGAACAAACCTACAGTCCCTATCTTGTACGTAACCCGGGGACTGCCTGTAGTTATGGATGCATCCCCCTTGCATTTGCAACACAAGTTATCACCAGGTACAAACAGTGCTGTATTGTGCTTGAAATCATTCCACAAGTGTTCTATACTCACAGGAACAATAAGCCCTTGCCAAGTCAATAAATTAGCTTCATCAACCTGGATATTACGGAAGTTTTTCATTCCACACTTGCGGATTTCTTCAAGTTCCTGAAAAAAAAAAGCAGAGCATAAGTGTACATTAACAACAGTAATAAGCATCATGTTCATTTTTTTAAAGAAATTTAAAGGTAAACACGGGTTCTTTTGTTTTATATTAATCTGTTTCAGAAGAGAGTTGTGACAAGCCACATAATTAACAAAACACATGGAATTCCTGCACTCAAAGAATCAGTTATCTAAAGCAGGCAATCAAAATCTTTATATAATGAATTAAAAGATACACCATGAAATTATAATAAAAGCCTAAAAATATTGCATCATCACTATCTATATCTATACACTTTTGTTACACAAATGAATGTATGACATTAATTCGTTTTAAAAACTTATTCTCAAAGAATTTGTGGATTGAGAATTAGGGATGTTAGATAATGTTCACTTTAGTAACCATGTAATCAATACATTTTTTTGCAGCTACACGATTACTAAAATACTTCTTTGGGGTGGAGCTGGCAGACAGTGCATTCCCTGCACTGCTGCCGCTGTATCAGAGGTTTTGGCTCCCCTTGTGGACAGGCCACTTGTGGACTGACTCCAGATACAGAGGCAACAGTGTAGGGTGGCAGCAGCCCCTGTCTGAGCTCCCTGTGGACAAAGCCTGCTCCAGCATACCAGCTGCTTCCTCCCACATCCGCATTGCTGCCTCTGATACAGAGGTAGATGTGCATGGAGGTGGAGGTACGGTGGGATGTATGGGGCTCCCTGGAGCCAGCATGCGCAGAGAGTCAGCTCCCTACATGTATCAACTCCCACCTGCCCCCCTCTCTCCTATGTGCTGCTGCCTCTGATAGAAAGGCAGGAACAGGGGAGAGAAGAGGACATATGGCTCTGAATGAGAAAATACATGTAGGGTACTGGCAAAGTCAGCTTCCCTCATGTTCTAGCTCCCGTCTATGCCACTCACCTTCTGCACTGCTGCCTCTCTACCAAAGGCAGCAGCACAGGTGTGGGGAAGCAGGTGGTCCGCGGGAACCAGTATACATGGGGAGCCGCTTAAAAGCCAGCTCCCCATGGGCACTGGCTCCTGCTTCTCTGCCTCTGCTCAGCCTGCCTGCCGCTCTGCTGATGCAAAGGCAGGGAAGGGAGGTACATTCATCATTAGGATGAACTGATAAGCATAGGCTTATCGGTTCATCATTTAAACAACTAAATGCTAACATCCCTATTGAGAATATTTATCAACTTGTCAGCTACAATACAAGAAACAGATATGCTGGGACTTGACTATAAGAGAAAGTTATACTGATTTAATTAAAGTTATTATTTTAAATTAATCTAATTAAATTTACACAAACCACTGTGTGGATACTTATTTTGATTTAAGATTAAAGCTAAACAGAAATAAGCCTACCTTAAACCAAAATAAACCAGAGGATTGTACCAGTCTAATTAGACTGGTTTAGAAACCAATTCAGTTTACCTCCATCATATAGAGAAAGCTCTAAATTAAGGCTGAAAACAAAACAAAGAAACAGCAATATTACAGCAATTTGGATACTTAATACCTTCAGGAGCTGCAATATAGTTTCTTAGCTCATGTAGTGAGCTAACTGTATTTTCCCTTTCTTCAGCAATTATTTCTGAGGGAATGACAAGCCTTACAAGCTAAAACTTATTAGTTTTCAGTGAAAAATAAGCCAATTACATACAAGTTTACACAACATTTTAAGAGTTTAAATCAAGGAAAACAAACCCTATGTTTATTTACTGTATTAATAAATAAATCAGTAAAGGGCACTCCCAGTCCAAATCTGATGTTTCAGAGACAGCAGCACAGGGACCCAAGCTACCTGCAAACAAAGGCTACCCTGTGGCGATATTGAGTAATCATGTAACCACTAAAAAAATTAGTGGTTACATGATTATTAAAAACCCTTCTTTCTAACATCCCTAGATCTGGTCCAGCATGATTTTAGTTAGCTGGATGTCCATTTATTATGGATGTGGACAAGTTCCCATAAAGTTAATTTACAATCACTTGTCCTGACTCTCACTGTTCTGTGCTGTTATTTAGCTCTAATTTATCCCTAAATGCCTTTTAAGAGCCCAGGAAGCAGTGGCAATGTTGGTAATGCTGCTGACAATACTGACCTCCCATTACTTGGCATCGGTCAGGAGGGTGTTGAATTAGAGAGGTTCAACCTGTATTTAATTTTGGACACTGAAAGTACAAAAGGTTCGAGAGTGCAGAAGATTGTGTTTTTTTCTGAACAGCTCATTGTTTTTTGTTGGTTCATTTTTTTGCATGTAGCATTGAGTCTTCACACTGAACTACCCTTTTTCATAGCCCACAATTTTAAAAAACAAAGCATATTCTAAGCCAAAAATAACTTATGGAATATCATTAAGAGAGCAAGTTACAGATACCAGCACACATTTAAAACAAAACATATCCAAAAACCAGCAAAGATAGAAAACTGGTTATTTTAGATATATTTTTAACTCCTGATTTTTATATAATATACATTTATATATATTATTTCTCTCAAATTGCTCCTTGTTTAGAATTAAG